TGCTGCCAGACATTGCGTTTTTTAACCCGCGTGATATACTACTTACATTGATATAAGTAGCACGCACCATACTATATGTAAAAATAATTTAACTCATGCATTTCAATCCATTACTGATCATCAATCTTTCACATATGTTTACTTAAGCGATAAAATGTAAAACAATTTTTCATTGTTTTACAATAAAAAAGTAGAGAGAGAATGTGTGTGTGTGTGTGAGTAATGGAGTGACTGAGAGAAGAAAATAAATTTAAATAGGGGTAGAAGAAGAGTTCATAAATTTACTTGATTTTTCTTTCTAAACAAATAACTAAATGACTTAACAGGTGTAAAATAGTGAATAAAATTGTATGAATTTTACATTCTTTTCTGGTTAATTCCAGAAGAAAAAGAAGAAAAAAAGAGAAAAACTTAACAACTCAAATGATTAATCTATTCTACATTCTATTCTATTTAAACTATACATTTTTTTTTATTTAAATAATTCATTACGTAAGAATAATGTTGCCTAGCAACAAATCATTTTGTTCCTTGAATACATTCGTTTAGTGCTATTAAAAATATCATTTTAATGATTTCCACATGTAAAGAGAAAAAAGTTATGATGTTTAAAGGAAAAAGCAAATAAATTAATATCACACAAAACTGAAATGAAATTAGTTGGATAAAGATTGTCTACAAGTTCCTATTCCTTTTAATATATTATATGAAAGGAAGTAGATTTTTTCTTCTAATCAGAAACTCTTTGAATCATCAAAAAATGAGAAATGAATCAAAATATGTTGAATATATATGACATAAACATTTAAATGTTTTCCATGTTTCAAATTATTTATTATAGTTACATAATCATAGGATTTATTGTAGATGATTCATCAATAAAATTTCAGTGTATTATATAATAGTTTGTCAATAAGAAATAAACAACAATGTATTCATTACTTTAGATGTTAAATAAGATTTGGAAGTCAGTATTCCATATTGTCTCATTGTTAGGTCCCGATAAACGTAATGAATGGTAACTTTGGGATCCTTTTATGAACCAATACAAAACGTATATTTTTATCGTATATTTGTTAAATAACTAAGTTATTCATATTCATGTTCTTCTTATTATAAGCTTTATTTTGACCTATGAACCATTATTATACGTTTTGCCATTCCGGAATTATGCCCTGTCTATTAGTCACTACCTCACACATTCACAGCCACATTTAGCCATATTTTGTACAAATGTTATTTTCTATTTTATGCTGCGTTGTGCTCTGTTTGATTGGTATATAAACTCAGTATGTTTGAAATATAAGCATTCACATTACAGAGGCTGACACTGGTGTTCTGAACTTAAGTGGCTGGGCTAGGCGGAAAGCAGGACCAATCAGGACGTGCTTTACGCGTCCTTGGTCCGATCGATAATTCGCTGCTTTTGATTGGTGGCTTTGGGCATAACACTAACATAAAGTAGATTGTTCAGAAGACGTATTGATATGGGTCAAATTTATGAACTTTTAACAAGAGCTCATCTATAGTCTTCGTTGAACAACAACGTTACGTATGAACAATATCTATAGAATGTTCGATATTGACAACGTTAGTAAACTCATTTTGATTACCGTCAAGTTTCATTGGTGACGTCTATTCTACTGCAGATAATGGTTGAATTTCGAAAGTCATAGTCTGGTGTTCAGTACCCAGAAAATCTTTCCTTCAATAATCAAAAAGGAACAAAGTAATTTTCACGTGAAACACTTGTGGAAATTAGTTTAATTCGAAGTTACGTTTCATTTTATACTATCGTCAGTCGGAGAGCTAGTGAAAACCAGGAAAGATGTTTCAATATTCAAGATAAATATTTGATTGAGATCATGAGTCGATTGGTATTAGACCACTGTCGAAAACCTGGAAGCACTAGGTGGCCGTTTCGTCCTATTGTGGGACTCCTCAGCAGTGTGCATCCACGACCTCGCCTGCGGGATTCGAACCCAGGGCTGGATGCATTAAGTCTAGTGCTTCAAAGTATTTTTTACAAATATCAGGATATTTATGCACTATTTCATAATATATTCGTCGTATTTATAATTTACTCTAACTGTTTTATTTATAAAATGGATAATAAGTGCTATTATCTGACGGATAAGAATATAAAAGAAAATATGAGTTAATTCTCTAACAGCACAAACATGAAGAAAGTACTTAATCATAGACTAATGAGTCAGTTTTACATTGTTTGAAACAATTTATATTTTTTACATGAAAGACAGTCATGCAAATAAATACCAAGGTTTTGTTATCAATCGATACAACATTTGAGAAAACAATGTTGCTGACATGCTCTAAAGACATTTATGGTTCGGAAGCTCTAAACAAAAAGACTTTCAGATATGCAACGAAATTCTGAAACGACAGAACATTATTCTTAAGAAAGATGAACTTGTATTTGAATGCTCATAAAATTTAAATAATTATTATTCCTTGCGTAAGCAACTTGAATACATTATAAATCACAGTCAGTTATAATCAAAATAGATACAGTAATTAATGAGTTAATGAATATTTATTTAATTAAAGTAAAATGGTCACTCGATGTTTATCGAAGAACAATAAACCCAAATGGCTGAAATTTTTTAGCAGTATAGTAAAAAGACTATCAGTAATCAAACAGCTGGTAAATATTGGTTCAGAATCATCTGTTAGGTGATTAGAAGCATTTTTACTAGTGATGAGCGTTTTTTATCGTGTATTCCTCAAAATGTCGCTAATTAATAAAAATCCAGAATTATTTGTACAAAAAAGGCAGGACTACTCAGCAGTGCGCATCCAAGATGCCGCCTCGGGAGACTCGAACCCAGGACCTATCAGTCTCGCGCGCGAATGCCAAACCTCTAGACCACCGAGTCGGCTGAAGTTAGATATTAAAGTTAGACATTAAAACCTTGGAATGACGGCCCAGTAGGCTAGTGGTTAAGTGTCCACTCGCGAGACCAAAAATCCTATGTTTGAGTCTCACGTGTATGATCTTGGATGCTCACTGCTGAGGAGTCCATGCTAAAACGAGACGGCCGTCCAGTGTTTCCAAATTTTTCATGGTGGTCCAGCTTCAATTGACTCAAGACCTCGACTATTGGAATTATTATAATATTCGCAGAAACCACACCTGGTTTTAATTAATCATGTCTTAAAATTCAATGTTGAAAAAGTTTGCCTACATGAAATTACTCATCATGTTTTGTCTTTTAAAATAGCTTACAAGTTCTAATACAACTAAAATGCAATTATGTTATGAATCACAAAAATACTTTTTTTAGTGGGAAACATTGAATAGGTATTGATAAAAATGATAGACTTATCTAATTTTTCTAGTGATTTAAATTCAGGCATTTTATTTATGAACATTTCTTATGGTGTAACCACTTCAGTTTATTGTAGTTTATCAATGATACTATGCTGGGTCTTTTTTCTCTATCGTTAGCAATATATATATATATATAACAACTGAGAAGTCCAAAAATTGGAATTTGTATTAATGAATATTGCAGAACCAGTATATGCATTTATGCGTGAACGAAATTCTAAAAAAAACCGAATGTATTTTAGTTAAATTTAGGATTATTTTCACAGCTCTGTTCAGTTAATTAGTGTGTTACTAATCAAGTGTACATGAATTTTGACATGTAAGTATTTCTAGATGTCCTGACACTCACTGTAACCGATAATTAACAGGTTATTTATAGTTTTATAATCTGTGCTCGATTCGATTCTAATTATTTTATGTCTACTTAGATGGAACTATTTAAAAGTAATACAATGAATGAATTGTGTAAGTGATACTGAAGCAAAGTGGCTTCTCTTAACAAAATACAAAAATTTACTTTTGGCTTCTGTAAATATATGTATCTTACAAGATAAATTTTCCATAATATTTAAATTAAATAACAAATTAACAGCTTGCGCTGTATATTATGTATACTAATGCCAAATTTTTTAAACTCTTAGTTTTTCTTTAGTGTGTTTGATATTTTGAGTGTAAATATCGATACATCCTAGATTCCTAATAGTATGTGCTAACAATATATGCTTCATTATTATCATAAACCAATCCCCATTGTGGACCTGGAAGCATTGGACGGCTGTTTCGTTACAGTATGGGACTTTTTAGCAGTGCGCATCGACGATACTGCACGCAGAACTCGATCCCGGGACCTTCAGTCGCGCGCAAACGCTTGACCTTTAAACCACTAAGTCGGCATACAGCGGTGTCTAACTTCAACCAATCAGCGATATGTGCGACTATCTTCCGTTATCTCCAGTGGGCAACTGCCTCACACGGTTGAATTCCCCTGATCACGGTTGCTTACTAGAAGTCTATAGGTCAAGCTTTAGCACTCGACCGAAGCTCTTGGGTTCGAGTCCCGCGTGTGAGGCCACCGAGTCTCACTGATGAGGGGTTCCATACTAGAACGAAACGGCTGTTCGTTGTTTACAGTGGTGATCTAATAGTTCGGGATTTCAATGAAATTCAACAGTCTCCACAGTCTCATATTGAAAATAATATATGTGTTCATTAACTAACTAAAAATTACTTAACCTTCTGTGTTCTTCTGTTACGTTTATATTAAATTTTGGCTACTGATATTACCATTCGAACATCAGTTAAAATATAAGCTGCTTATGAGTTTGGAACTGAAACCACTATCATTTCGATTGTTTATTGTCACTCTGAAAATTATAATTTTGATGAACAATATGAGTCTGTAGTTCTCCATATGTTTTTAACTTTTAAGAAGCTCACACAGCACTTAGGAAGCCTAATCATTATTATCTAATAAACCACTTTACAGACTCTTGTTTACTGCTTGTCTAACAAACTACATCAACTATCTTATTAGTCTGTTATAACTAATGTCGAATAATTAAAAAAAATTGTTTTCATTTGTTAAAAAATGTTTTCACTCAAAATTCAATTTATTCTACATGGTCTTTCATCTTTTAAAAATATTCAGCTTTGCAATGGCTTCAAATAGACGTTGGCCCACCAACATTAATAACTGGAGTTATTCTGAAATCACGAGGAGATGTGAAAAATTCGCAATATGTAACACGTTTCAAGCTCTCTTACAGTAATGATACACGCCTGTGGTACTTTTACAAGGATGCAGCCCCTCTAGATCCTAGGGTAAGTTTCTTTTGATCAATAAGTGAGAGCGGAGTACAGATGATTAATTACTTACTTATGCCTGTCACTCCTCGTGGAGGAGCATATGCCGTCCACCAGCATTTTTATCCAAATCTGTCCTCCACAATCCTTTCAAGTTGTTTCCGGTTTCTATTCATTACTTTGATGTCTGCTTCCAATTCTCGACTCAATGTATTCCTTGATCTTCCAGTTTTCCTTTACTCTTCAGGATTCCAAGTTAGCGCTTGTTTCGTGATTCCGTTTGATGATAATAAGTGTTTAAAGCGTGCTTTGTTTAAATTGCTGTTAATTTTCATAATCAGCTTCTTTTTCTGTTTAATTCAAGAAAACATTTGTGTAACTAAATACAAGTCAGTCTCAGATACTTACTACCTTACTTAAGCCTGTTACCCCTCGTATAGTAGCGTATGCCGTCCACCAGGATTCGCCAACGAACTCCGACCAAGACAATCTTTTTCGGTTGTTTCCAATTGGTCCTCGTTCTCTTGATGTTTACTTCCAATTCTCGACACAATATGTTCCTTGGTTTTAAATTTTACCTTTACCCTTCAGGATTCCAAGTTAGTGCTTGCTTCGTTATGCCGTTTGAAGATTTCTGTAGTGTATTTCCTATCCATCTCCATCGCCTTTTCCTGATTTCCTCTTCAAATGGAAGCTGGTTTGTGCTCTCCCTCAGTAGGCTATTGCTAATGGTATCAAGTCAATGAACAGTGAGTATTTTATTCAGGAAATTGATTATAATTACCTGGTACCAATTTCATGAAGGTTATGGTAGCAGTACCCCGAGTTTCAGTTCCTTACAATATGAACAGCTGTCTTCACGTTCGTGTTGAAGGTTCTGACATTGATCTTGACTTGTAGAAAATTATTTTGAGTTCCATATGTACTTCAGTTTTAGCAATGATGACCTTGTTTTGCCAATGCTTGCATTCACATCTGCACCAGATCCTCCGTGTTGATCTATGATGCTGACCATGTACGTGAAAGATCCCACCTCTTCCATGGTTTCTCCATCAAGTGTGACTGCATTGGCGTTCTCTGTGTTGTATTTGAGGTTCATGCTTTTTCCCATGTGTATGTTGAGGCCTAATGGTGCAGATGCTGCTACGTTACTGACTGTCTTCACTTGCATTTGTTGATGTGTATCGGATAGAATGACTAGGTCACCTACGAAATGAAAATCATCTAGATGCATCCAAGATGTCCACTGTATTCCGTGCTTCCCCTCAGCTGTTGAGGTCTTTATAACCCAGTCAACCACCAGAGGAAAGAGAAAGGGGGAGAGTAAATAGCCTTATCTGATATTAGTATTCACTTGAAATGCATCTGTCCGCCGTCTGCCATTTACGACTTTGCAGTATAGTCCGTCGTATGAATTTTGGATGATGTTGATAGTTTTCTCAGGGAGACCATAGTGTTGAACAAGGTTTCATATTGTTCTCCTATCCACACTGTCAAATGCCTTATCGTTGTGAAGGACGTTGATGTATATTGACGCATTTCATTCAACTGATTGTTCAACGACAATTCGTGGTGTCACGATTTGGTCTGTGCATGATCGATCCTCACGGAATCCGTCCTGTTGATCTCGAAGCTGGAGGCCTACTGAGTCATTCATCCTGTTCAACAACACTCTGTTGAATACCTCACCTGGTACTGACAGTAATGTGATCCCTCTGTAGTTCTCACATTTGCTCAGATCTCCTTTCTTTGGTATCTTGATGAGTTATCCATCTTTTCAGTCTGTCTGTGGTACTTGTTCTTCTTCCCAAATCTTTCTGATTAGTGTGTGGAGCATACTTGCAGTTACCTCTTTGTCTGACTCCAGTGCTTCGGTTGGTACATTGTCAGGTTTTGCTGCCTTCGCAATCTTGGTTTGTTTGATGGCCACCCTGATTTCTTCGATTGTTGGTGGAGAGACATCTATAGGATGGACTATAGGTGGTGCTTCGTTATACGGTGGATTCAGTGGAGCTGGTCTATTCAAGAGTTTCTGTTCCCCTGTCCTTGAATTTCAGTAATTTTCTTGCCTTCGCTGTCTTTGACCAGTCTCTCTGGTTTATTATATTTATTATATAGTATATAGTAGTGAGTAGTAAGTTCCATCTTATTTACTGCCAAAATAAACATTCTTTCAAGAATGCATTTTTACTGTAGAAATAATGCTTGTACGTTTGATATTCCGTATAAAAACTTTCAATATGTACATTCAGAGAATAATTCAAATTGTTCTCATTAACTCAATAAAGTATTATTGACAACATGATTTAGAATCAGTTAAAATAAATAAATACAGTAAATAAACAAATAAATTACCCAGTTCTTGTTTCATTTACCATAGTAATCATATCTTACTTGGTGCTATATATTCGTTCATTCTTCCTTACAGTTTCTACTTAGCCTATAAACATCAAATATCAGTGGTCGTCTGACTTTTATATTTTTACACAACTTGAATAAGTTGATATCCTAGACGCTTTTAAATTGCACGCTGAAAATAAAATGAATGTTTTGTTCCGTTTATTTAATTTAATATCGCCTTTAGGTTGTTGGTAAATCAACTAGATTACAGTTTCTTGACACTGTTTCCTAAACACGTTTGAGTCGTGTGTTATGATTCATATGTAGTGACCTATAATAACGTTAATATTTACGCCTCTGTCTTGATCGTGTATTACTCTTCAGTGTTTTGGAGAGTAATATCAAAGAACATAAATAGTAATTGTTTCAATTCTGAAAAACTACCGCGGAAAATGAAGTTCTATTTCATGAATTTTCTTTCAAATGATAGTCAAACTATGCTTAATTTTACATATCACATAATAATTATTTCCCTATGACTCAATAGTATTACATGTTTAAGTTCGACCAAAGAGAATCATATGTTATAATTAGAACGTTGACATATCTAACTCCTTATTCACGGACATCAATATGATATTTAAGTGAAAACCTATTCATCAGGTACATGAAATTTATTCATATTACATAATATTACCAAATTTCTTGGATACGTTTATAAACTCGGACTATTCCTTTTTTGAGGTACTAAGTCAGGAAATAAACTAATTAAATGAGTTTTCATATATAATATTAACTAATTTAAATTATTTTCTTTTTTCCTTGTATTTTATTTTATCGCATGAATTCAATACACTATCACTAATATGTTTATCAACATTTCATCAACATATAAAATCTTCATTTATAATTTTATGGTTTATGCTTCACTTTGTCTTTCATCTCCACCCCATCATGAAAACTTTTATTATTTGGGGGGTTTTTTTGTTGCTGTTGTTGATTTTTTTATTTTATTTACTTATTTTCTTGCTTGTTACTATTTTATTTTTGTTATTCAACATTGAATGAAAATTGTTATTATTTTTGTTTTAAGTCTACTGTGTGGTCATTTGAATGGAGTCAAAAAATGAAAGAATCAGATGATAAGATAAAATCTGATAAAGTAAAAAATATTTAATCACATTAAACTAATTACAATATTATATATATGGATACATGTATATATCTGTTTCAAATACGAAATGTTTATTAAGTTTCTTCATTTTACTTAATTACTTCATTTTGTATTTAGTTCAATCATATTTTTCAGTTGTGTTGCATGGTCTAGTGAATATTTATTTTCAATATTTTTAGTTCCAACAGATGCATATGTTAAGCAATCTGACCTTATTAAACATTAAAATTGTACAGATTTAGTTTACGGTTAAATATTTTAATCGTGATGAAAGCAGTTATAAAACATTGAACTATGAGTTACTAATGGATATATAATTAGTCAGTCGGTAAAATGTTGGTGTAAAATAATGAAATGAATTAAACATTGTTTATCTGACTGATTTGAGTGAAAAGTGGCTATTATTGATAAATCTTCTAATTGAACGCTAAATTCAGTTCATAAGCTATTCTAGTAACCCCCAGGCTAGATCTATAGAGCAACTTGAACACGGGAGAAAAGGCACGAAATATGAAAGAAACACTTTACTCTAAATGTTCGTTTATGTACAGAAAATCTAGAGTTTTTTTATGGTACTTTAGATGGCCTTGGGTTTCTGGAAAATTCAGGAACGCCACTAAAAACAGTAGCAGTATATGTAACCATCCAATCAGAAACTCGACATGCGACTTTTCACTTTCTAGCTGTTTCCGGCAAAACGTCTAGTGAATGCTAATTGGATAAGATGCTTCTTAACATTTTCAGAGCCTTTTGGGCTTTTTTTTCGAGATTTCTGGATATTTTCGACAATCATCTTAAGTATACAAACAATACTGAATTTAGTAGGGTAAAGTCTTTGACTATTCATACAGAGTGATTTAGTTCTTAGTTTAGTTGATTTGCATTAACCTTCATATTCCATATAACCAGAACATTGAAAAACTAATTTATTTAATGCATTAAAACAACAGAATTTAGTTTTGTTGATGAAAAAAAATCAAATTAATTTGTTGGCTACATTGAAATCATGTAGCAACCATTTTTTTCTGGACTAATTAACATAAATCTATTTTTTTTTAAGAAATAAGACTGACTAATGTAGCATTCATATTGAACCTTTACAAAAGTATAGCTGACATTGTCTTTAAATTATTATTTCCATAATTCAAGTTCAGTAAATGATAAGAATAATAAAAACTCACTATTGAGTTTGTTTGAAAACTGAAAGATTGATGTGTAAAACTGTTGTAGCTTATTCTGACCACAACTACAATATGATTTCATAATAGAAAAAATACAAATGTTTCCAACATGTAAATATAACTTTTCAGTTAATTATTTCTTACAGACTGTATGGATAAGTAGATTGAATGTTTTCACTTAAATTTACAAAGATCTAATTAGGATTACGTTGGATGAAAATTTATCATTGAAAATTTCTAATTAACCTGTAAAAATGTCTAGACTAGTTTAATTAGACTTATCAGTTATGTTGAAATATATACACTTTACTATAAATCACCAAGTGATATCTGGTCTAATGACAAATGGTTTATTATTATTATTGTTCAAATAGTTAAAATCTCAGTGTTGGTGCAATTCAAATTAGGCTACGATCAGCACTCTTATGTTTGCTTCACGTAATAATCACTATATTACGTAAATTCAGTTTATAAAGAACCTCAGTGTGTAATACTTTGAATTCCGAATCGGCACAAAGAAAGTATAACTGGTAATTCGTTTAACATTGATTTAGTATTATCATATATGATAGTACGTATGTGTTGATACATAAAACTTTTACATCAATTCAGGTCACGTTATCAATTAAACGTTTCATTTAATGTTTTAATCAAATAGGCCTATTCATTACACTAGACTCTCCTTCAATGTATTCAGAAATATATTGACTGTTACGAGGAATAAACTTTGCTATTTAAGAATAAGCAAAAGTCATCAGTAAATAAGCTTTAATTTAAATTTTGTATTTAAAACAAACTAAACACTATAAACCCATATCTTTAAACAGAAGGGGTTTCGTGGAGATTTTTAGAAATTTCATTAGTTGAAATCATGAGTCAGTTGAAGCTAGACCACCATGGAGAACTTGGAAGCAGTGGACAGCCGTTTCGTCCTAGTATGAGACTCCTCGGCAATGCTCATCTACGATCCATGGTGTAATGGTTAAGCGCTCACGCGCGAGACTGATAGGTCCTGGGTTCGGATCTCGCGGGGGGCGGGATCTTGGATCCGCACTGCTAAGTAACTACACTCCTAAATTTAAGAAACTGATAAGCTACTATGTGTTATATATCCAGTTGTTTTGTTTGAAAGATACTACACGACAAGAAAATCTGTTACTTTAAACTAGAAACCTTTGGATCAGTGATGGTTTCAAAATATTCTTTAGTTATATTTGTTAGCTTTTTTAGACCTAATAACAATTTTCTCGTGTTTTTTTATCAAAATGTAATAGTATTATGATACTGGGATTTCACGCTTGAATGCTTTCTTTGTGTAATTCCTGTTCATAACTTAACACCATGTATGACGGTTTTTATCATCACAATCTAAATTAAAATAAATTCCATTTTTCCTAATTTTGTCAATAAGACGTTAAATTGAAAAAAAATCGGCGAGACTCTAATTTAGGGACGACCTTTCAACGAATCTTAAATGACCTTGACGATTATTAGCCAATCAGAAGACAGTTAGTATAAAGTCAAAATATATTATAAGAAAGAAATGAATTACAGTGGATATTCTCCTTTTACATGATTTAAAAACTTGTTAAAAATTGATAAAGGTTCAGAGGTTCTGAATTCATAATGCATATGGTATAGAAACTCGTCCATAGGGTTAGGGTTGTAGCCTCTCAATAAACACCTCTTCTCTAAAATCCGTTGTAAACCGATCGTATGTTAGCACCCTAACCCTAACCTTAACCCTAACCCTAAATCCTAACCCTAACCATAACCCTAACGCCAACCCTAGCCTAACATTAACCCTAACCCTATGGACGAGTTTCTATACCATATGCATTATGAATTCAGAACCTCTGAACCTTTATCAACTTTTAACAAGTTTTTAAATCATGTAAAAGAAGAATATCCACTGTAATTCATTACTTTCTTATAATATATTTTGACTTTATACTAACTGTCTTCTGATTGGCTAATAATTGAAATTGCTCAAGCGCTTCTGATTGGCTCGCCCCTAAATTAGAGTCTCGCCAAGAAATCAATGTTTGATCCAACTGAACAAAGACTAAGTAAATTTTTCTGAAAAATTTCAATACATTTACTTACATCTTCGATAAATCACATTCAATCTCAAAGTATCTTTCTATGAGACGTTTATACTTAAATAACACAACAACAACAAAGATGAAAGTAATGAGCCCATCAATAAGATGTTTTATGCAATTGGTTCATTTAATCAATTCAAATAAAGCTAATACAATAATTGTAGTAGAATAATATGACCTGATTATAATAATTTATGGTTATTTATCATTTACTTATGTTGTACCTCATTGTTACATTTTAATTCAAATATGATTGTAAGTAAATGATAATAAACCACAAAGTAGATGTTTATTATTATGATGTTTATTATAAACTTGTATATACTGAATAATTAGCATGTAGATTTCAAATGGAGAATATAGAATGTTCTAAACTTTAGTTTATTATTATTTTAATTTGAAATATATTTTCGCGCATTTTTGTATTTATTTTAATGTGTATGGCTTTTTATTTATTTTATTTAAATTTCCGCTCAATTTCTTAGTTTTGCTTTCTTGTGTATCAATGAAGAATTTTTTATTTATTTTACGATTTTGCATGTTTGCTTTTTTTTGTTTTCGTGACAAAATGAAAATGTTACTATGAGGAAAATAATTGATTTTTTTTCTGATAATTTTGTTCATCCTATGAACATTTATAACACAACCAAATTATATATTGGAATAAAACAAAATCATATATATATATGATTTACTAAAGATATTTGATGGAAATAATGAGCAAATCACTGAACGTATTCATTATTTGGCTACTCCATTTATTGCACGTTATGTACGTATACATCCAGTAATATGGAGAAGCCGTATTGCAATGCGTGTTGGTCTATTAGGATGTAAACAGAAAGGTTCTTGTACTGCTGGTTTCTTTAGAATTAACAATGAAAGTTCTTGTGGTAAGTTGTACTAGATTTAAATTATTTTAAAGATATTACATTTACTAGTCTTTCACATTTGAATAACATTTAACAATAATGATACCATCTATACAAGTGGTTTATAATGGTTCATTCCAAACTATTATGCTTTCAATTGTCTTACTTCCTAAACACCAACGGGTACATCTGAATGTTTGAATAATTATGAAAATGATTAAATGACGTTTTAAGGTGTAATTTATTCCGTAAATTACGAAAGTAGAATTTACACGTTATACTAATGAACATGTCAATCCTTTCAAAGCCTCTGATTGCATAATTGGGTTACGCGTGAAATGCGAGAGGTATATTTTAAATATAATCCCAGTATTTATGAGAATACATACATTTTATTTACAAACCTCACTTCGCGAAGTATCTATGTCGTTTACTGCAATAATATAAAATTGTAATAAAATTTGTATTCTAAAGTTCTCTTGAATAGATCACATATGAAATGTGCGGTAAAATATAAATAGGTTGTAGTTGAATCATAACCATAATGGAAGACAGCAATCGAAAAGGAAACAAGTAACGTAAAAATGGAAGCTCTTACTAATCAGTAAAATTTTAATGAATGTGAGAGAACCGAAAGTAACTGCTAGAAATGTTAGGAAGGTGTAATTACGAATAATAAATAAATAAAACTTAGGTATTCCCGTCAATTGAATTACTAGATAACAATAAAATGATTTTTATTGCTTACATATGATTGAGAAAGAAATTAACTACTGAAAATGTATTAGGTAGCATAATTAATATAAAAACATGTATTTAACTGGAAGAAAGATGATCAATAAACCATGTATAGTTCTTCGATATATGAAGAGTGGGGAAAAATTAGAAGGAACCTGAAAACCTGAAAATGCTAACAGGTTTACAGAAAATTAATAAATTAACTAAAATCCAGATAAAATCAAGCTGTGAAAAGTATGATCGGATGGTATATTTCTGATCTATCTAGCTATAAACTGACATATAATTAAAAATATTGCAAGTTGTTTTGGATTAAGTTGAGAAAATTTCTCTGCTACAAAGTCCATTTCGCTGAACACTGATTATTTGGTTGTCACGTACAAATGGCTTAGAATACAACTCTCAAAGATCATGACATTTTATTAGCAGTATAGCATATACACTTTAGAAGTGATTTGGATGATTTATTTCTGACACAAAAGTCGTAGGGTATCTATAGAAATATAAGTCTCTTTAGCAAACCAAGATTAGGATGCTATTGAACTTTATTTAAGGCACAGACTTTACTTTTGGGAATACCTATTGTGTAATGCTTGAGTATTCATAAATGTGCAAGCGACTTCATAAGCGATTTTTTAAAAAATCTATGGACTCAGTAAATGAACTGATCAAGGTCGAAGCTGACCACTAACACGAGAGTTTATCGAAGTTCACGTCACTATGAAACGTGATCTTCATTCCGCAACTCCCAAGGGGCTTAGAGGAGCATTAACATGGTGTTTGAATTGCTTCTTAGCTCCTATTAATATTTTGACTCGTAAAAATTTGACATACATGCGTTTTCCATCTGTGATATTTATATTTGAATGAGTATTAGTTGCTGTAGATTTTCTCACTATTCAATTTCATTTATCTAGTCCCTAATCTTGCTTACAAGAAAAATGCTTGGTTAACACCAGAATCTTCAAATCATCGTAAAAGAAATCTTCAAGATTCTGATAAGGTATCACGATCATATGGTTTCACCAGTGAAGCAAGAAATTTGATTGATCCTGAAAATCCTTCACATTTTCAGTATACTGAAAATCAACGTCCACCAATGTTGGCTCATCACAGGATAAGAGATAACACCGCTAACTCAAATGCATTCAAATTTAGTAACATACCTCTATGGTCATCAGTTAACGGTATGACCAATGAACAATTCATGGGTGACAGCAGTGATAGAATGGCATTGTTAGCTGTTGATGGTTGGACAGGTGAAGAAATACTTTTAAAAAATTCAACCTTATCAACGAGGTCATCAGAACGTTTAATGAATGATGCTCCAGATAATAAACAACTTACGAATGATAGTTTAAATAAAAGAAGTATACAGAATGTTCTACACACAACCTCAATGACACAAAAGTCGGCCCATCCATGCACTATACTTGAATATCGTTGGCCCTTTGTTGAATTACCTTCATGGTATGTAGACCTTAGGGAGCATATTGAAGTAAAAGGAGTTGTTATTTATACAGCAGGTCATGGTAGAGGTTAGTGTTTAGTCTTATTTAATCACGTATGTTATGATTATGGATAATGAATAGTTTTATTGGTAATTTCTTTATTGAAATATACATTTTGATTAAGTTAAAAGTTCGTATGCTTATCAATTTAACTGTTGAGCATAATTTAAACTCAATACCTTTTTCGTATCCGTCATTCATTCACTGACCTACTGAGTTCAGATAGCCCAAATCGTGCCAATAAGCACAATGAGTTAACATGTCAACAAAAGATGATTGAAACTTAGTCCTATTAATGATATAGCACGATGCAGCTGAACGGAAAGTTCAGAGTAATTTGGTTTAGCACAAAATGAGAGTTTTTATGAAATCACGTGTAGAACACGAACTATACCTATTCTTATGTTAGTACACATAGGCAGTACCCACAAGGTATTATACCTAAGAGCTGATGAAAGTAACTGTATTTGATCATATAAACAACATCTTACTTTCTTAGCTAGCATACGACAAACATTATAATAAAATATAAGAATTATTTTTATTTCATAATAGTTCACTGAAAGATCCAGTATTCAACTTACGATGTACGCTCTACACTTCGAGGGCCAACTTGAATAAATTCAGTTTATCAGTCGATTGTGTTCACCTAAAATAATAGTGAGGCTAGTTCATTTTGTTAAACTGAATACTTTAAAGTGATTATTATTTTGATATCATCATAATTCATCTTCACGTTTATGCTTTTTACTCTCTTTTTTCAATTTAGTAGCGATATATTTTCAATATATGTTACCAGTCAACACCAAATAACATTTTTTTTGTTCCTACTGTCTTCCTGTGATTCTTATCCTATGAATTATGATTAATTACTTTAATATTTTTTTCTATTCTAAAGCTTACAGAAACTCATACATGTGTTCGTTTGCGTTCATGATTCTATAATTCTTTTGTAACTAAACTACAATGTACAGTGAATTTATTATTTTTTCCGTTTAGAAAGATATATTTAACTACAAAGCAACAACTAACTGATGTAAAACGTATGTATTTTTGTCGTAAAATCTGAAATGTGAGTTATTAAGGACAATCGTTCCACCAAATATCTCTTGTTCAATGCATTCTAAGGTTTCGATAAAGATATAGATTGACATTCTTATGATTTCCCGATATCATAAATTACAAATGTACAGTTTGCTCTCGAAATCAAATGACTTTTCCTATAGTTTATGACTGTACTACAACAATGCATTTACACACAAGTAATGTAATCTATTTGACTCAAGAACAGATCAATAAACAAATAACCCATGTAACTCAGTATATCAGCCTCAAGATAAATAATATCTTCTTATAACAAGCTAATTAACTATCTCACTAAATTACCAAAATAACATAAGCTATATTTAGACTTGATCAAGTAATCAAGCAAAGTAAAGTCATAAAAAACTGGTTGCTCAGTTTACATCCAGTTGTTCATTTTTGATTGGGATATATACACATCTATATTTTATTTCTTCTCAGATGTACCAAGTCAAACTTATTCATGCTTTTGAATTTTTTTAAATTATCATCTCCATTTCATTTCGTATCATCTTGAATATGATTATTGAGCCATGAATACCATAAACAAATGCTTTAGGGTTTCTTTTATGAGGTAGTTTTCATCAACATTTGACTCTAGAAACTTTAGGTCGTATTTATAGGATAGTAATTTTAGATCAATAAGCTAGTTCACCAACTTATGCCAGTGTGCACAAAAACATTGACCTCATAACTGATAAAATCTGTAAGATAACAGATTTACAAATATCATTTTCGTGAAATCATTTTTAGTCATTTCGTATTTAGAAGTCCTACTATGAAAAATATTCTTGTATATTTTTTAGATGGAAGATATCTTCTGTCTTCTTTATTTGGCGGTGATGACAAAACAAAATTCAATTCAGAAAATTTAGAAAGATTATCTATCTATGTCGAGTCAGAGCCACGTCACCATGATACTAAAGCATTATCTAGATCAAGTTCTAGTCTATGTGGTTTTGTTACTAGAATTAATGATGCTATATTCAGTCCACGTTTACACATACCTTGCAGACAACCGTTAATCGGTCGTTATGTTTATGTTGAAGCTCGTGGAGTTCGTGGAAGGTGGTCACAAGAGTTTGCAGCTTTGTTATGTGAAGTTATGGTGTATTAAAACAAAGCTGTTTTTGTTAAAGTGTTATGAAAGTACAAGTAATGCATTTATAATTATCATAATAATTGTCATTCATACCTCGTCATAATCATTAGCGAATAGAATCAATCATTCTTTTAATTGTGTAAAGGTGAAAGAAATTATCACAGTTAAAATGAATCTTACATGAAGTTTTTCTATCCATTAAACGTTATTTAATATTATTTTTGTCTCATGACACTGTTTCTTTATATCAATTTTTTACGTAGGAAATACTTGTTCATCATCAAAATATATATTCACTAAATATATTTACACATATAACAATGAAATCATTGCATATTGCTTAATTATACATAATATGGTTAAAATGGTTCTCTAGACGAACACCTTATTTATATAGAAAATTGTTTAATCTAAAATAGCTTTATTTGTCTAACGCACATTAACTTCATTCTTTTCAAACTATGTAATCATCCTACGAACTGGAAAACAGATCACTTTAACCAGTATACCTTAATGAATTCATTTTGTTGCTTATACTCCAATATACAAATATATTAATAAACTTTACATTTAATAATGAAAATTGTTTCACAAATAAATCCTTTTAAAATAAAACTCTGGTAACAAATTTGTTTAGAATAGGGTCTCGCTGTTGTATTGTTTTATGATCTGCCCAGAAGATGATTAGAAGATCAGAAAGTGATTGATTCACAGTATTCTTAAAATGTACTTCATTTCGTTATCATTTGATTAGATCATTTGTCCCCATCGCGTCAACAAATATATGGACCTAGTCTGATAAAGGTTTATCTCGGCACTTGAATACTGTTGAAGCTGAAGCTGGAAAAAGAACTATATTTGAAGAAGTGACTTGGAAACACTGGAAGTCATACGTATTTAAATGAAGATATATGAATAAATTGTAAGACAACCATAGAAAAAATTGTTCCAGAATAGGATCACCAACTTATGCTTTTAATTATCATAAACAGAAGAAGGATTTTGCCTTCATTTATAAATTAATGCAAAACCTTTAACGTCTTAACAGAAACTTTGCATTCAACTTTAGTGATGATGAACCTCGCAAATACTTCAAGTCTGTAGGGCCAGTAAAATGTCACGACCTTAGCCAAACCATTGGGCATTTAGATCACTGAATATCAAGCAGTCTATCGGTCCTAGTCGTTGTCAGGGACAGCCAACGAGCATCAATCAGTTCCAAGCTCCTGACTCACTGTGTTTATTTCACGTACTCACACTAATATATTTCCGTAATAACGTAGTTTGTGTTGTACAGTCTTCAAAGTAGCCATTGTACCTGGATATGACGACAGGGGAGCGCACGTCAGGTTTTAATCGTAATGTGTGACTTTGACGTAAACTGGTTAGTCAAGCCATACCCGTTCAGTCCGAGTAAGTACCCGCTCATTAACAAAGAGCACTTACGCTGACGATCTGCAAGCCATCTGGAACAAGTGTTCAAGCCATAGAACTTATTTTGAGCTTACAAAGCATAAATAAGCAATGTGTTTCATGAGATTTTTAGTATACTCTTGTACAGTTATCCCGCTAATACTCGCCGAAAATCAATCACTCAGATATATTTAGTTTAGTATAATTGCTGGTATCTTATGAACATAGATAAGACTCTAATTTGGATGAACGCATAAATATGCTGTGAACATAAATCCACTGGATCCTTCCGCAGACCAAAAACCAGAAGGCAGTTGATGGTTGTAATAAGATATATCTCTTGGCAATCGTGTGATATCAAAATAATACCGAGATCGTGCAAAAGTTTACAATCGGAACTATTAAGCGTACACGAGTCCGTGCAACGTTACAGTCAACGGAAGAATGTGTGTTTTTAGTGCACTTAAACATACAGGTACAGTAAAACAATCACTGGTACCATTGGTTATAATAATAATTGTTTCCATTATACCAATCGCGTTCTTTCCATAAAAGTAGGTCACTACAGTACTCTGATTATGAACAAGTAAATCCTTCTCAGAGACAAAGAGTTGCTGTGAAAGTTTGTATAAACTTAGTGAAATTACATTTAAAGATGCCACTTTTATTCGGAGTTTGGCAATATCTTTACGGATAACACTTTCGTGATCTTAGTACACCAGCCTGATCAAATCAGAAGTCAGAAACTAAGGGGTTAAAAGACGTATTTGGAGAGCTATCAATATGTCGAGAGACGTGTGGTCTGTGGTGGCTGGTAGTTGGAGGGAAAGCGCAGCATGGAGTAATCACTTTTGATATGATGAGCATGCGTGATTGAATGCCTTCAGCTAGGGTGTGTCTAGTAAAACCGAGAAGGTTTTTATTAATGTCGGTGACTAACGGAATTATTTATTTCGGGTAATTATTTACCGTTACAAATTCAACATCACTCACCGGTAAAGTTGTTTTGTTCAGAATGTTCAAATGACTTGCTGAGCTTTGCGGAAGCTTTGTTCAGCATGGACAGCAGAATAACCATGATACATCCCATGATATCACTTACACGTAAAGAATGTCTTTAATTTCTATTAATAACAACAGTATGGTGAACTCAAGAACGACAAACGAGTCGATAGAAAGGTAGGTTTTAAGTACCATGTAGTAATACAGTCTAAAAAGTGTTAATTTCAACCATGAAGATTGTGGTGTCGGTTGCTATGTTAGACCCCTATGGCTTTGACGATGCCACAGGCATTCGGTGTTTGAAAATGCTTTAACCAGTAACACCTAATATGAAGCATGCCCACCAAATGAAATCAAAAAACAGAAGCAAGGAGGTTAGAAGATATATTTGGTAAGCTATTAATATATCGAGGACCATCTGATCTAATCTGGCTAGCGATTGCAGGGTTTTCTGAGTACGGCGTTCTCACACGTGATCTGGTGCGGATGCATGACCGAGCGTCTTCAGCTAGGTAAGTTCATTAAAACATGTGGTCAGCATCCAATGTTGTAAACCTACAGAGCTATTTATTTTGGGGATTTATTTACCGCTACTGATCAGTTCCCCCCTAGTGGGGTAGTGATGACCATAAGATGTGGCCAGCCAGAAGTTTAAACCCAATGAGTTTTGTCGTTGGTGAACACTCTTCTGATAGCTTGCTAGTTTCAGCAGCACCTGGTCGTGTTTCCTTACTATAAAAATCCATGAAATACAATATAGTAAAAAACGAATGTACAATGAAAATTTTGGTTCCTCGTAAACCTCATCGTACTTGTTATCGTCTTTTCCAGCCCTTCTGGAAAAGAAAAAAAGAACACGTAATTGCATGTCGAAATAAACTCGCTATAAGACACAAGATAGGCGAAAAAGTGCAAATAATATAAAAGCAAATCTTTATAAATGCTATTTTGTTTGATCTTTTAATAAAAGTTTTAATATGCACATTAGCCAAGTAATTAATATATATAAATATAAGCATATAAAAATTGATTTTTTTTAAATATTGCATATAACGCCATGGAAAATGGAGATGAAACAAAATTTTAACTAGTGTCTTACGTGCACTAGTCGTTTATGTGTTCCGGAAATCTTACTCTTCTCCCAGAACGCGTCGGTTTAAGTTTATTTTCAGATACTGTCGAAGTATCATCGGGCGTGTCGGTTGTCGGATGAGGTATTATAAGTGCCGGAGACGTGTGTACTATATCGTAAGTTAGGTTGAACGACAACATCAGTTGATTGACGTCGAGTAGAAACCGGTTTAACTGAACGCATTGCGTTTGTAAGCCTGTTCGTGTAGGAGGTTAGATTCATGTTCATTGAAGAGGATGAGGGATCCACGAATTCTCCTGTAAGTCGAAGTGTCGTTCCATAAACGAGTTTAGCCTCAGTGTATCCAATCTCAGTTTTCACTTATTGCGAATACCTGGAAAGACGAGTGGAAGAGTGTCGATCCAATATGAAACGTTTGCAGCTGATAGCGAAGCTTTTAATTGTCGGTGAAAGCGTTCTACCAACCCGTTTGCTTGTGGGTGGTAGGCCGTCGTTCAGAAGCCAGTGATTCCTAAGTGTGATCAGACAACGGAAAAGGGCGGCCTGCTTGAGCATCTGGGCTACCTGTTCCTGCCATCTATATATTTCAACAAGTTATCTATTTTTGTTTGTTTTAATACATCATTAAGTTTGTTAATTACATAACCTATTCTGCTGCGTTTCTGAAAAGTGTACAACCTTTCGTTGTCAAAGTTACAAAAAACTCAATAAGAGATAATGTGTTTGCCGGCAATATACAACGAAAAAGAATGTACATCATTCAGATTTTCACTAACTGAACTGCTAACATCTAACTGGCGATTCCTCAATATTTATCGCCAGGACAGACCAAGAAGAAAGAAACGGAAACTTGTTGAAATACTTTGCGCTGAGAATTCTATATTGTACCAAAAATATAATATTGAATATAGCTGACAATAATAATAATAATAAGTTTGCTGAAGCCATTGCCATCAGGCGTCAAAAACCTGAATTATGTATTCAAAAGGAGACAGTGGTTAATCTTTCCTTGCCCTGGTGACAAATATTTCTTCACTGCACCATAAAATTTTCTTTTTTTCTTTTTTCTTTTGCATTTATTACATCATTGACTCTATTTTATTTTTTCAACTATCTTTCAAATTAATAATCTTTCAACTGAACTCTACTCAGTACATTCCTTCAATGTTATTCATTATGTAATCGATTGTTTCTAAACCACTTTTGAACTGTTGTTACAAATAGTGTTGTAGAATATTTTTTCACATTAAGTATATATTTACAATATTCAGTTGGCGATTTAAACCCATTATGTAACAATGACTTTTAAATATCACAGGTTGTAAGCAGCTGATGAGAACCTACGAAATAAAATGAATTCATGCTATTCTACTAGAATCTTTGTTCTTGCTCTTTTCTAAATGATATAGGTAACTATGTCTTTAAAATATAATAATAATAATAACAGTAATAATAATAGAAAAAGTTCAGATTCGAACTGACGTCCGCGGTCTGTAGTGATAACTCGTGCTGAAGATCATTGCCTTCCTTTGAAGCTGGGCGAGTTTAAGAAAGTCGATTCCTTGGAAACTGTTCAAGGAAGTTATGCGAGATAAGGCGTCTGCAACTACATTGTTTGCTCCAGAAATGTGTTGGATGTCTGAAGTAAACTGCGAAATGTAGTCCAGTGGTCGAGACTCACGAGGTGAGTATTGTCAGAAGGAGAGCTTAACGAGAAAGTGAGCGGTTTATGGTCCGTGAAAATAGTGAATTCACGGCCTTCGATATAGTGTTGGAAATGCCGTACAGCACAATACACAGCTAGGAGTTCCCTACCGAATGTGCTGTACCTTGATTCGGTGTCTAGTAACCTTCTAGAAAAAAATGCCAAGGGTTGCCAGGAGTTGTTAACCCATTGTTGTAAAACTCCTCCGATTGCTGAGTCGGATGCGTCTACTGCGATACTAATGGGTGCGTCGTTGTCCTGATGTGCGAGCATTGTTGCTTTAGCGATCAGTTCCTTAACTATGGAGAATGCTCTTCGAGGGGTGTCGTCCGGATCAATGGATTTCGCATTTCCACGAAGTGGGTCGGTAAGAGGTTTCATAAGTAATGCGCATTTGGGTATGAAGCGTCTATAGAAACGTACCAGGCCGTTAAACGTGCGTAATTGCTTGACCATGGTCGGTTCTGGGCAATCCAGAATTGCCGCCACTTTGGTCCTAAGGGGTTGAATGCCTTGGGCATCTATAGTGTGTCCTAGGAAGTTTAATGAGTCGGTCCCGATTCGGCATTTCTGAACGTTTACAGTAATG